GAAAAATCATTAGGTGGGCAGCAATGGTTCCTCTAAACTGGAGTCTTGTGAGCAAAAATTCTCCTTTGTGGACTACCGGCATTAAAGTTGTGAGCAAGTGAGTTGGCTACTGCATAAATTAGTTTGCTCTGGAGCCATCCTTCCTGAGCGAAGAAAAAAATGTGTGATCCAGAGGCTAAAAATCTGTGAGCTAGCTCACACCAACTCAGCTTAGAGGGAATACTGGTTGGCAGGGAATTATCTCACAGAGCACCTACAGATCTCTCAGACCTCCTAGCGGTCTAAGTGGGCAGGGAAGACAATACAGGAAATAAGAGTGATTTCTCAGTCTCTGAGTGTTTCAAACGATAACCAAACACTACATCATGAACCTGTTGGTCACCAGAGTGATCAGACAGACGGTGAGGTTCATGACTTGTTTTCAGTGCACAGAAGCAGAAGGCATAGGCAAGCAACAATGGCATCAGGGTCTTCTGATATGCATTTCGTGGCATCCTTCTCAATCTCTGGGTGTTCAGTGCATCAGATGGCAGAAGGCAGACTTGATTGTAATCACACCGCTCTGGCCCAGGTGGCCCTGGCTTCTGGAGTGGATTTTTATGTCAGTGGCACCCTGTTGGCGGCTTTCAGAAAGGAAATAAATATCTTCTTACATGGCCTGATCATTCATCCTAAACTGGAAAAAATAGCAGTTCGCAGCATGGGGGCTGAACAGCGATAGCTGAACTTGTGTGGGTATTCAGATGGAGTACTGACAGCCCTCCTGCCATTCGTCCTTCAACAAAACATATGGTGTCACCTGGGAGACCTTCGAGTGGAATGTGATAGAAGAAGTAATACCTCAAGAGGCACAGATGCTTGGCTGGTTTTAGAGTTCCCAAAAGGAGCCATTCATGGGGGCTCGCTCATCTCCAGTACCTTGAAGAGGAGGGTTTCCGTATTCAGAAACATGGTCGGTTGTAAGGGCAAGAATCTCTTGCAACTTCCCCTTCATATGTTTGTTTGTTTTCCTAACTGGAGTGAGTTTCTCAGATTGGAGCTCTCATGTGTCCCTTCCTTCTCTGAGCTGAAGGCTAGCATGTCTTTGAAGACTCTCTGGTAGCCAATATTTTGCCATGGATAATTACAGAGAGTCAGAGTTATTGGATTCATTTATACCCCACCTTTCTCCCCAGTGGGGACCCAAAGTGGCTTACATAATTCTCCTCCTTTTTATCCTCACAACAACCCTGCGAGGTAGGTTAGGCTGAGAGAGTATAACTGGCACAAAGTTCACCCAGTGAGCTTCTATGGCACGAATGGGGATTTGAGCCTGGATCTCCCAGATTCTAGTCCAACACTCTTAACCACTATACGACACTGGCTCTGTCTTCTAACTTGAGCCTGTATGTTTTCCGTACTGACAAAGTGGTTCTCAGATTAAACCCTTTGTTCATACCAAAAATTAGTTCCATGTTGCATAGAGCCCAGGAATTGATTCTGACTTCTCTTGATCAAATCCCGTGCATGTCCAAAGTCATGACTGGCATAAGCTTAACACTAGGAAAGAGTTCTGATTTTATTTGGACAGGACCTCTGACATCAGCAATTCAGAAGCTCTGTTTGTTGTTCTGGAATATTTCCTAGAGTACTAGTAAGGTTTTTATGTCTGTATTACCAGTGTGGTTGAAACAATATTGACAAGTGACATAGGAAATGTTCAGAAAATTGTCTCTTCTAGAGAGTCAAGGACATTCTGCTGGGTGAGTAGTACTAGCGGCCCTCTCGGGAAGTGTGACAGATGCCCTATGAACTTATGTGTATTCATTATAAAGTTTAGACTGTGACATTCTTTTATATATATAACTTTTTATTTTATATAACAGATATACAAACATACAGAAATACACATATGGGGAATTTTGTTTACATCATTTGATCTATTTGATGCCCTCATACAGTATCTAAATATATTTATTACTATTTTCACCTTGTATACCTTTTGCATATAGTTAAAATATAACTTTTATTTCTTTTCATTTCAGTTAGATGTCCGAGAGTTTTGTATCTTGTACTCTTCTATCCATTTATAAAATCTTGACCATGTGTCTTCAAAATCTTCTTTATTATGTCCTCTCAGGATTAAGGTTAATGTCCCTCTCTGCTGTTTCCAATATTTTAGTTATAATTTCTTCCTTTGAGGGGATTTCGTTTTTTCTCCAATACAGTTCTGTTGTATATGGTATCATATTTTTAAACATTTTTTGTAACAGTTCATGTATCCAGGACCAATACTTTAACTTTATCACAAGTCCACCACATATGGAAAAAGGAACCAACATTTTTTTGACATTTCTAACATTCTTCATTAGATGGGTCAGGATAGAATTTAGTTAGCTTATCTGGAGTAATATACCACCTATAACACATTTAATAAATATTTTCTTTATATGCAGTCGCTTTTGTAATCTTTACATTTGTTTTCCATACACATAACCACTGATCTATATCAATATAATGATCAACGTTTTGTGCTAAAGAAGATTAGACTGTGACATTCTAACCATCACACCACTCTGGCTCCCTTCCATATCCCAGAGGTTCTAGGATGTTCTCCTGCCTTCACTTGATAAAATGGGATTTTTCTTTCCAGGAATTCCTGTTCTCAGGAGAGGCAGGAGGGCACTTGAGCCACTGCTAAATTGATTCAGATGGTAGAAGTCCATTCACCTGGGCAGTAGGCTACCTATGGAGGAGGCAAACAGGGACTCCTGGCATTAGTTCCGTCTCTATCCCATTGATTTGTTTTTGACCTTTTCCAATCCTGTGGCCACTGTTGTGTTTTCCAAAGTTGCTGGCATATGGAGTGCAGCACTTTAACAGCATCATCTTTTAGGACTTTGAATAGCTCAGCTGGAATACTGTCATCTCCACTAGCTTTGTTGTTAGTAATGCTTTCTAAGGCCCATTTGACTTCGCACTCCAGGATGACTGGCTCAAGGTCAGCGATCACACCGTTGTGGTTGCCAAGGACATTGAGGTCCTTCTTTTATAGTTCTTTTGTGTATTCTTGCCATCTCTTCCTAATCTCTTCTGCTTTTGTTAGGTCCTTACCGTTTTGGTCCTTTATCATGGCCAGCTTTGCACGGAATGCTCCCTTGATTTCTCCAGTTTTCTTGAAGAGATCTCTAGTCCTTCCCATTCTATTGTTTTCCTCTATTACTTTGCATTGTTCATTCAGGAAGGCCTCCTTATCTCTCCTTGCTGTTCTCTGGAAATCTGCATTCAGTTGTGTAAATCGTTCCTTTTTACCTTTGTGTAATTCAGTTGTGTAAATCTTTCCTTTCCTCAGCTATTTGTAAAGCCTCATGAGACAGCCACTTTGCTTTCTTGCATTTCTTTTTCTTTGGGATGGTGCTGATTGCTGCCTCCTGTACAGTGACACGAACATCAATCCATAGTTCTTCAGGCACTCTGTCTATCAAATCTAGTCCTTTAAACCTATTCTTCACCTCTACTGTATATTCATCAGGGGTGTGATCTAGGTCAAACCTGAATGGCCTAGTGGTTTTCCCAACTTTCTTCAGTTTAAGCCTGAATTTTGTAATGAGTAGCTCATGATCTGAGCCACAGTCAGCTCCAGATCTTGTTTTTACTGACTGTATAGAACTTCTCCATCTTTGACTGCAAATAATATATCAATCTGATTTCGGTGATGTCCATGTAGAGTCGCCTCTTAGGTTGTTGGAAGAGCATGTTTGCTATGACCGCGTTCTCTTGACAAAACTCTGTTAGCCTTTGCCCGGCTTCATTTCATTCTCCAATGCCAAACTTGTGCGTTATCCCGGTTACCTTTTGACTTCCTACTTTAGCATTCCAGTCCCCTATGATGATAAGGACATCTTTTTTGGGTGTTAGTTCTAGGAGGTGTTGTAGGTCTTCATAGAACCGGTCCACTTCAGCCTCTTCTGCATCAGTGGTTGGGGCATAGACTTGGATTACTGTGATGCTGAATGGTTTGCTTGGATTCGGACTGAGATCATTCTGTTGTTTTTGAGATTGTATCCCATTACTGCCCTTTTCACTCTCTTGTTGACTATAAAGGTCACACCATTTTTTCTATGGGATTCTTGGCCACAGTAGTAGATATAATGGTCTTCTGAGTTAAATTGACCCATTCCTATCCCCTTTCATTCACTGATTCAGTCATGCCATCTCATTTTTTGACCACATCCAACTTACCTTGATTCATTGATTTTACATTCCAGGTTCCTGTGCAGTATTCTTTGCAGCATCGGACTTTCCTTTCACCATCAGACACATATACAGCTGAGCATCCTTTTGGCTTTGGCCCAGCCACTTCACTCTTTCTGGGGTTACCTGTACTAGCCCTCGGCTCTTCCCCAGTAGCATATTGGACACCTTCCGATCTGAGGGGCTCACCTTCCGGCGTCGTATCTTTTAGCCTTTTATTACTGTCCATGGGTTTTTCTTGGCAAAGATACTGGAGTGGGTCGCCATTTCCTTCTCCAGTGGATCGCGTTTTGTCTGAGTTCTCTTCTGTGGCCTGTCCATCCTGGGTGGCCCTCCATGGCCTAGCCCGCAGCCTCATCGAACCCCGCAAGCCCCCTCACCGCATCAAGGCAGCGATCCATGAGAGAGGTGAAAGGGTTTACCTAGTGGCATAACTCTTTCACAGCTGCAGAGTTAGCAAGCCCTACTGCGAGGACGGGTTCCTTGGTTTTTATCTGGTAACTCACAAAACTCTTTGCTCCTCACTACAGAAGATCCATGACTAGAGAGAACAGCTGTGTCCTGCTCCTTGCTTGTAACTATGATTGGTCTCTTTGGGCTGAACAGGATGATTCTGACTTTCCTTTCAAATGAAGGCTGAATAGCAAAACATATCCTTTTTGGCAGTAGTCATACCTTATGTTAGCTTGGAAGACTGAGCGGCACTACAGCCAGCCTGCTTTGGTTTCTCATCTGTATGCAGCTGAATCTGAGATGTCTTACCCTAGGTCCTCCGGCGAAACACACCAGCCCTCCACAGATGCTTGGGAAAGCAGGCGGCTCCAGCTTCCTGAGCACTCCTGGTGGCTCTCAGGTGAAAGTGGTGCCCATTGCCAGTTTGAATCCATATCAGTCCAAGTAAGTCAGCCAGCTGCGGAACTTGCTGTGGCTTTAAAGCATTGCTAGAGTGCTGTTTCTTAACATCTGGGGGCTGTTCCATGCTTCTGTGTTTTGCCGCCTTTTTCCTTGTTTAATCCTGCAGCTGCAGGTGTGATCTCTTGAAGTCAGTGGATTTGTTTTTGAAAAGTGGGTTCCAAAGTCTGCATACAGTCTAGTTTAGGGGAGGTTGCTCCAGCTGTGTAAAGATGGGGCAATCTGACACAGGCTGCTTTGCCTCCCAGCAAAACAGCACGTCATTAAAACATCAGAAGAGCTTTGTTGGATGAGACTAAAAGTCCATCTAGTCCAGCATCTTATTTCCCACAGTAGCCAACCAAATGCCTCTGGGAAGGCTATAAGGATTAAAGGCCTCATGTTTTTGCTTTCACCCACTGGTGTTTGTAGCACATTGCTTGAAAACATGGAGGTTCTTCAGCCGCCAAGACTAGCAGCTGTGGTTCTACTTACCCTCTATGAGTGGGCCTAGTCCTCTTTTAAAGGACAGCTGTATTATGTGAGACCTTTTTGCTGGCAATGGCAGAAATTGAGGCTGGGCTACCATGGAGCTGAGGCCCCTCATTTTCAAGTGCATTCTTTTGGGCATTACACACATTTATTGTCTGTGTTGTGTTTCAGAAAATGTTAGCTACAGTCGTAGGTGTGATTGTTGAGGAGGGTGAAGAATAGGTAGCTTATTCCTGCAGCAATAGAAGGGGGCTTTTGTGCTTTGACAGAGACAACGTATGTAGATAGGTTATATGTCACCACGTCCATCTAGGCATCTGATGGAAGTAGGCTGGTGCCCACACAATGCTTAGTAACTCAGCAGCTGGTCTGCAGTGTGAGCAGCTGGCATGTAGTATTCAAGATGAGAAGAGAAGAAGAGATTAGATTTATACCTCGCCCTTCACTCAGAGTCTCAGAATGGTTTACAATCTCCCTTCCCCTCCCCACAACAGACATCCTGTGAGGTAGGTGGGGCTGAGAGAGCTCTTGAGAGAACAGCTCTGAAAGAACTTGTGGCTGACTGACGGTCACACCAGTAGCTGAATGCAGAGGAGTGCGGAGTCAAACCTGGTTCTCCCAGCTTAGAGTCCACACTCTCTTAACCACTACACCAAACTGGCCTCAGGATCTGTGAATTATGAGCTGGGCAGGGCTGAGATGCTTGCTTGCTTAGGTTCTGTTAACTGCAGGTCATTTTCAGATTCAGCATTTGGTGCGGGGGAGTTGTATTTTTTAAATATGTGTGTTAGTGTGTGTGTGCACCTGGAAGTCATGGTGATCTCTGGTGACTGACCCCTACTGGGGGCCTGGGGGATATTCAGAGAGGTGGCTGAATAAACCCCATTCCCACCACTGGTATATCAAGGAGGGCTCCCATCCAAGCTCTTGCAAGAGTTGACCCTGTTTAGCTTCTGAGGTTGGGCTTGCCTGAGATTTTGCATTTAAAGCACACAGGTGACGGTGGCAAGGCCTAGCTCAATTAGGTTAATAGGGCTCGAATTCTTGCTCTTTGTTTCCAGGTGGACTATTTGTGCACGGGTGACTCAGAAAAGTCAGATCCGAACGTGGAGTAACTCACGTGGGGAAGGGAAGCTGTTCTCCATAGAGCTGATTGACGAAAGCGTAAGTGCTTCAGTGAATGTGCTGGGTTATCACGTTGCACCCTAGGAAAATGTGGAAGCAGATAATGAGCCCCTGTTCTGCTAATGAGTGGATCAGTTTTTAGAGTCCAGTGAGATGCAAAGTCTGTGGCAATACCTTCTGATTAGTGTTCTGTGTTCAAATCAGCAGTCCCTCCCCCCCTCCCATGTCTGACAGAGGCACATGCACAGAGATGACCTTTCTTTGCCACTGTAGCTAGGCCTGCCCCTTGTAGACCAACTTGCTCCTTGCCAGTGCAAACTCAAAGCCGGCTCTTCTAGCTATTGTTGGTTTGGCAGTGTTTCATCTGTGCTTTGTACCACAGTCAGAAAAGAAACACTGGCTATGGTGTGAAATACTCTTTGCAAGTCCAGCAGTTAACAGTGGAGACAAACTCATGCAGTCTAAATGGAGCACATACCTCAAGTGGGAGCTGAATGGCCTAGGGCTATCACGAGTCATCTCATCGCTGTGGTGAATAGGAGGGAAGACGTGCTGTACACCCTATCCCTCTCCCCACTCCCCCTCCCCAGTTTCTTTACAGTTCCTCTTTATTTAATTTTTTTTTATCATTACATCTCTACCCCGCCCTCCCCGCAAGTGGGCTCAGGGCGGCTTACAATAGGGCACTATGTGCCAAGCATAAAACAACATAAAAACAGGATTTAAAAAAATCAACATTAAAGTGCTCAGTGGTTACAATCAAAATTTAACAAGATGGAATCAAATTTGCAAGATGGACTCCCCAGTATCTTACGTAACAATAGGGAGATTAAAGACCCATAGATGTTACTCGACCCCATCCAGCGGTACTGATAACAGCAAAGTTATGGTTGATCTTCATGGGGCCACCCCTCAAGTCTACCAATGATACTAGTGGTTGTGGCAGCTCCTACTCGAAAGCCTGGCGGAAGAGCTCCGTCTTGCAGGCCCTGCAGAACTGTAAAAGGTCCAGCAGGGCCCTGATCTCCTCCGGAGCTTGTTCCACCAGGTAGGAGCCGCCACTGAAAAGGACCTGGCCCTTGTTGCAGTAAGCCTGGCCTCCCTGGGGTCACCAGGCGATGTTGTGTCCCCGACCGAAGTGCTTTTGGGGGCATATGTGGGGAAAGGCGGTCCCTCAGGTATGCTGGACCCTGGCCATACAAGGCTTTAAAGGTAAGCACCAGCACTTTGAAGCGAATCCGGTATGCTACAGGCAGCCAGTGCAGCGCTTTCAGCACAGGCCGGATGTGCTCCCACCTAGGGATGCCCGCCAACAGCCTGGCCACAGCATTCTGCACTAGCTGCAGCCTCCAGATTTGCGACAAAGGCAGCCCCATGTAGAGAGCGTTACAGTAGTCTAACCTCGAGGTGACCATTGCATGGATCACTGTAGCCAGGTCATTGCAGTTGAGGAAAGGAACCAACTGCCGAATCAGCCGAAGGTGGTAAAAGGCCGATTTGGCAGTGGCTGCCACCTGGGCCTCCATAGTTAAGGCAAGATCCAGGAGCACTCCCAAACTCCTAACCTCCGATGCTGGCACCAAAGGTGCCCCATCGAATGTCGGAAGCGGGAGCCCGAACCGAACCGACCTCTGTCTTCACCGGGTTTAGCTTCAGCTGACTCAGCCTGAGCCACCCAGCCACGGCCTGCAAGGCCCGGTGGAGATCTTCTGGGTCGGAGTCCCAGTCATTTATGTATGTAAGTTATTGCCCTGATCTGGTCGTATCTGGGAAGCTAAGCAGGGTTAGGCGTGATTAGTCCTTAGATGAGAGACCATCAAGGAACACCATGATCACTACACAGAGGCAGGGAATGGCAAACCACCTCTGAATGTGTCTTGGGTTGAAAATCCTACTGGTTGAGACTTGATAGCAAAAAAAAAAGTAAATTATTAAGAGTCTCCTTTCCATTGGAAAGTAAAGACGAAACCTGAGGTGGTCAGACCTAAAATAAACAAACTTTGGTGCTCAAGCATCTGGATCAGTTTTACAGCCCATGGCCTGTATCTTACAGAGGAAGAGACACTCGGAGGTTGAAGGAAGGGTTTAAACTTTGCTGAGTGAAGTGATAGGATATAGGCCATTAGCTGCTTGGTGGCCTGTGCTTATTGGCCATGCTGTGGAATTATTTTTAGGACCGCACAGTGTGGTTTTAAACTCCGGATACATCTTTTTTTCAGCTGTTCATTTAGCTTCTCTTCGCCTTGCTTTTGGGTTTTTGACTGACAGTTTTTATTACATTTGTAATACTCCTATTGCATAAACATCTTATCTGGTGGCGCTCTAGCACTCCTTATAATTATCACTTTTGGGAAGGCCTGTCACAACACTAAGGGTGCTGCCACCACATGGGTGATGTCACCTGCTAATTTGTAGAGCTAGAGGTAGGTATTAGTGAGCCTGTAGGTGGACGTGATTCAGGCTGCCTGCCCTAAGTGGTGTTTCCTTCCCACAGGGAGGGTGCAGAAAGTACTTACTGCTACATTGTGCCTTCCCTGGAGTGAGTTATGGAGCGTGTAAGGCAGCTTTCAAGTGGGTGAGATTTCATGCCATCTGTGAGGAAATCAAGCATGGATATTTATTAGGACTTCAACCGATTACACTATAGTTCATCATCAGCATCTGCTTTGGAGCAGATTGATGTGTTTTTAAATGTACTTACGTATTACCGAAACTCTGGCATAGATGATTTTTTGAAGTAATGACAGAATTGCAAAGGAACTTAAACAGAAGATGCCACTTAAGATATTCTTCCCTTCTAACAACTTTCTGTCACTGTTAGTTGTAGTTACGTATCACAACAAAACAGTCCCCCCAGCAAGTAGGTCATTTCCAACCTCATCAATCTTAAAACTGGCCTCCACTGATCAATGAACCAATAAACTAAAGTTTAGTTTGAGCAACTCACTAAAGGGTGACACACGTGGCTTGTGTCTGTCCTGTGGTAGCAGATCTGCACTGCTGGTGTCTGCCCTGTGGTAGCTTAGGATGCAGCAGTTCTCAGCCCTTTCTCGAGTACTGGGTGTACTTGCCATTTTTCTTACAGTAAACAAAGATGTTTATACTTTTAAATTCTCTAAATATGCCAAACAGTACAATTTTATATGCCAAGTTCTAGTCAGTGCATTTTATGTTGTCAAAAAGAAGTAAAAGAAGTCTAGGTTTGATAAGAAAGTATTGCATGTATTTATGTTTTTTCCAAAATTTCTGGGGACCCCCTCCATGGCTTCAAAATTTTCAGAAATGTGATATCCCTCTCCCTAGGTCAACCTCTGTATTGCAAACCGCACACCATGCTGAGAGTGCATTCAAGAGAGGTGCCAGCAGAGTGTGTAGTGGAGAGGTCTCAGATGAGCCTCATGTATTGCACAGTAGGCAAGGGGATGCAAGTGTTCATCTGGAAATCCCTTTGGAATCCTGATTGTTCTTCTGCCTTCTTCCTTCAGGGCGAGATCAGAGCAACTGCCTTCACGGACCAAGTGGACAGGTTTTTCCCCATTATTGAGTTGAACAAGGTACAGTACAGTTGTCTCTCATAGCAGCGGGTCAGGCATTGTAATGTGGCAAAGGAGTATGAGAGTCCTACATATATTTCCCCTTTTTAAGATCTTGTGTCATCTGAATTAGGATCTGGTAATACTGTGGACACTTGGAAGAAAGGTGACTATGATAGTTGTCCCTGAGAGTGAGGCGCAAGGGTTGTGTCCTTGAGCCCTTACTTCTACAGTGGTGTCTTAAAAGATGTGTGGCTAACTGATTGGGTAACAGTTGCTTATTGTCTTCTCTATGCAACCTGGCATGTACACTTGACCACAAAATCAGAGCTTTCCTTGGATGTTTTTGTTCCAGCCCACAAAACAGGGTGTGGACTTCCTTGTACATGCAGCTTTCCCTGTACTTATTTATTTTATTCAACTTGATATACCGCCCTAACTCCCGTAGGGGTCTCTGGGCGGTTTACATTTTTGGGTGCTAGTCACATATTTGAATCCTAACTAAGGCCACATCAATTCAATGGAAGGGGCTGCCTACCGGCACCCTGGTGGAGGCTGGTGTCATTCTTTCGGCTCGGCTCCTTTTCCCGGCTGCGAGATGTTCTAGCGCTTAGGCAGACAGGCAGATGGTTCACAGGCGACGTCCTCCTCGGCCCGACTACGTCCTTCTGGCTCCGCGCGCCTCTGGATGACGTCACCGCGCCTCCGTCCTCTGCCGACGACAGCCGCCTTGCTCTTTCCACTGCTGGCCACCAGGGATCAGTCCCTCTCCGGCTCTGCTGCCGCCGCTCGCCACCTTCAGCGCCATACTTGTGAACATGACACTGATCTCTCTATTCCTCTGCTGATTGTTGGCGGCATTGATCATCTTTGGGGCATCCCTGATGGAAGGAGGGGTAGAGATTGAGTAAGGGACCCAGTGCTTACCCTGTGACACATGGAATGTGTCTGCAGGTGTGCTTCATGCTTTACTATTTTTTATCTGCTGCAGGTCTATTACTTCTCCAAAGGCAACTTGAAGACTGCTAACAAACAGTACACAACTGTGAAGAATGATTACGAGATCACATTCACAAACGAGACTTCTGTCATACCATGCGAGGATGCACAGCACCTCCCCTCAGTCAAGTTTGGTTTTGTTTCCATTGGTAATCTGGAGAACGAAAACAAAGATTCAATAGTGGGTGAGTCTGTCTGGACAGGGCTTCAAACAAAGCTGTGGAGAGGAGGGTGGCGGTTGAAGTGTGCTCTGTCACATTTCTACAGTTCCAGTGGCGGTGGCTGAAATACTGCTTTTAGTTGCCAAGAAACTGACAGACATGGCCATCACCGTATGTCAGGATTTATGTTTCCACTAGAAAAGAGTGGCAGAATTCCTTATTTGGAACAAGTGGGCCTCTTTGATTTGGATCTGTAGTTACTAATAGGCTACAGAGGTCCGAATCAGTGCTTACTGGGGTTGCCATGTTGCTCTGCCAACATGGTTGTATCGTGATGTGTGTGGCTTCTGTGCTGAAAACATCTGGGGACATCTGTAAATGAAGTAAGAATTTGTGAGAGTACCAGTTTATAGTGTGTCTGGTTTATCGTTAGAGGAATTTTTAAAATCAAAACTTACAGACCCATCGTATTTTCCTGTTGTGCTTAACCTTCGGGGTAGGGCAGGATATAAATCTAAATATAAATAAATAAATAAAACATCATACGGATGTCTGCAAAATGACAGTGTGGCCTTAGTTTGGTATCCAGCACTCTCCCAATAGAGAAATAGGGAAGAAACACTGTTTGTGGCAACAGCACTAGTATCTCCTAATTGCAAAGTGGCATTTTGGAGCTATTCATGGAAAAAACCAATCTACACTATTTATTTAGGCTATCTATATTCCACTTTTCTCCCCAGGGGGAACCCAGAATAGCTTACAACCTTGTCCCCTCCCTTCCTAACTTACCTCACAGGTAAGAGTGACAGGCCGCAGGTCACTCAGCTTTAGAACCTTGTCCCTTCCTAACTTACCTCGTAGGGAAGAGTGACTGGCCCCAGGTCACTCAGCAAACTTCCTTGACAAGTTGGGGATTCAAACCTGGGTTTTCCAGATCCTAGCCCAATTCACTAACTATGCTGGATAGCCCAACATACTGGTCTGATGCCACAGTCCCCTACCACACACATACGAAGGAGAACGTGAAAGGTACAAAGGCAGCATTACATCCTAAATTTTAGGTGTGAGCCACTGTAGTGCGTCCAGTCCAGAGCCCTATTACCATTTTCCATGAATCTCTGCAGATGGGTATTTGAATCCTTGTATACCGCACAAACAGCTCCCCCTACTCCCTTCACTGTTCCTTGTAAGGGGTGCATTATCCTTGGATCCCCAGTTGGAGGAGTGGAGTTGGAACATCCCTGCTGGGTGTCAGAGTCCTGAGAATAGCACACGTGTAAGCGTTCTGTGAAGGCAAATGTAAGCAAGATGCTGTTTCTAGATTTATCCTCCTTAAGCTGTTTGTGCAAACGCCCTTTCCTAGAGTCACCACCAAGTTCCCATTTGTGTGTTCTAAATGTGCATACCATGAGGCTGAAATTATGTAGGCCCATGCCATCTGCTCTGTTATTTGAGAAATGGGTGGCCTACCTGGGAGTGTGATACTGCTGTGAGTTGTGTTAGATACAGAGTGTGTTGGAAACCTGTGCTGCGTCACAGCTGCATTGCACCAGGGGAGCAGATTTTTCTTCCTCTCACCGATATCCGCAGGATCATCCATTGTAGGGATCAGATTGTCCATACTTGAATCTGGAAGAATAATTTAGACGTTTCCCTTAAGAACATAAGAAGCGCCATGCTGGATCACATATAGTGATGGCTGCCAACTTGGAAGGCTTTAAAAGCGGAGTGGACAAATTCTTGGGGGGGGGGGGCTTATCAATGGCCCATCAAGTCCAGCATGCTGTTTGCATTGTGGTTAACCAGCTAGCTCTAGGAGTCCTACCGGTAGGATGGCTGTAACAGTATTCTCCTGCCTGTACTCCCCAGCAGTTGATATCAAGAGTCATTCTGCCTCTGGTACTGGAGGGAGTGGATAATCCATTATGACTAGTAGCCATTGATAGCTCCATCCTCCATGAATTTCTCCACTCCCCTTTCAAAGTCTTACAGGTTGGCAGCCATCACTGCATCCTGGCAGCAAGTTCCACAATTTAACTGTGTCCTCTTGGAGAGGCCTTGTTGTCAAAACTTGTAAAAACCAGAGTAATTTTTGACAGGTCTTCTGTTTAGGGTGCTATGACAATTATTATATTCCTCATGGATTTCCCTCCTTGCCTTTCAGATGTAATTGGAATTTGCAAGAGCTTTGAGGACGACAGAAAAATTGTAATGAAGGCTTCCAATCGAGAGGTGTCCAAGAGGGATATACACTTAGTGGACATGTCTGGAAAAATGGTGACAGTCACGCTATGGGGAACTGAAGTAAGTTCTCTGCATTGTTCCTGAAAGCAGAATTGGCTGTTTTGCGAGAGAGGGGGGAAAATGCATGCATATCAGTAAATATACTCAAGCAGGAGAATCTCAGGAACAGAATCCCTGTTGCAGTGAGAGCAGTCTCTGCTTGGGTTATGTTCCATCTTTGGGACAAGAAGCAAGCACAGTTTGATAGTCAGCTCCTTGGCGGTAGGGTGGAGACGATTGTAAGGTCACTCATTGAGCATCCTTATTCTGCCCTAAGAAAGGGAACAGATTGTTGTCAGCTCTCTGTAGTTTCAAGGAAAGTTCTTCATTTGCAAATTTGTATCTGCATCCTTCTCTTTTTAAAATGGGGGACCTTGGGGTTAATTGCTTTATGATCAAATATTTATCCAGGTTAATGATTATTTATTTATTTATTTTTGTATTTCTATGCCACCCTCCACTGGAGGGCTTAGGGCAGTGTACAGCATGGTTTAAAACACAGTTTCACAGGTATATATATAAATCCAGTCTAAAACCCATTTAAATTAAATCTTAAGAACATTCTGATGGTGTAAGTAATTATTAATTCCTCTTATGGGGGGGCAGATCAGGGCCAGATTTGACAGTAAACTTTTGCTATTCTCAACCATAGGTCTGGTGGAGCATCTCTGTTTTACAAGCCCTGTGAAACTGTCTTAAGTCCTGCAGGGCACATTTGTCACCAGGTACTGGAGTTGGCAGGGATCCCACAGTGCAAGAGAGGAAGGACTCCTGCCTCCCCCTATGCTTGTTTTCTTGAGCTGAAACACGTGGGGAGGGGGAGGCAGGAACCCTTGCTCCTCCCTCAATGCCACAGTCCCAAACCTCATCCAGCATCCACAGGCTTTTTAATTAACGTTTCCAATGGCTGTGGGGAAAGCAAGTGGGGTCCAGGGAACCTGCTGGATCGGGAATGCTGTAAACATAGTTTATCTTGATTTTAGTGCTTTTGATAAGGTTCCACATAATATACTTGTTGGCAAATTGGAAAAATGTGATTTGGATACTATGACTGTTAGGTGGATCTGTAACTGGTTGACAGATCGCACCCAAAGAGAGCTTGTGAATGGTTCCTCATCTTCTTGAAGAGGAGTGACAAGAAGAATGCCTCAAGGATCTGTCCTGGGACCTGTTTTGTTCAACATTTTATCAATGGTTTCGATGAAGGAATAGAGGGAATGCTTATTAAATTTGCAGATGATACTAAATTGGGAGGGGTAGCAAATACGGTAGAAGACAGAGTCAGGAGACAGGATGATCTTGACAGGCTGGAAAACTGATCTAAAAGAAATCTAATGAATTTCAATGGGGATAAATGTAAAGTTCTGCATTTAGGTAGGAAAAATCAAATGCATAATTATAGGTTGGGGGAGACTTGTCTTGGCAGTAGTATGTGCGAAAAGGATCTAGGGGTCTTAGTAGACCATACACTGAACATGAGTCAGCAGTGTGATGCGGTTGCTAAGAAGGCGGGTGCGATTTTGGGCTGTATCAACAGAAATGGTGATTGCCACTGGGGTCAGGAAGGAATCCTGTAGGTCTTTTTGTCATCTGGGCATGGAACAGCGGTCACTGCAGGTGTGGAGGGGGGAGGTATTTGTGAATTTCCTGCATTGTGCAGGGGGTTGGACTAGATGACCCTGGAGATCCCTTCCAACTCTATGATTGTGTAATTTTGTAATTGTGTATTGTGTAATTTTGGCCAAAACGTGAAGTGCTGTTCTGTCTAAAGGTACTGCTAATCTTCCCATGCATAATGCAGTTCCATCTGCTATGCAGGTGGTGGTTGCAGATCCCTTCTGAGGAAGGCATCCCTGGACCTCAGTGACCCAAATAACTGTTGTGTGGCGGCCAACATTCCATTTTTGGGCAAGGTGCCCAAGCAAGTGGTGGCTGTGCAGCCTCAGACAGTCTTGGAGGAGGGAGATTTATGTAGACCCTTTTCCATTCTGAATTCAGGCCTGGGTTTGGGACGGGGTGTGTGTCTTTTTGCGATTACTATCTTTGCAGGGAGAGTGATGAGGGATTTCTTTCCTGGTGGTTCTCCTGGAACTCTGGGCACCATGCTTTGATGGTTCCAATGTTACTTGCAGGGTGGATTTGATTTAAATCATGATTTTAATCACAATTTAAATCACTAGTCAGTAAGACTAGATTTAAATCATGGTTTTCTACATAAAGACTCATTCTTGCGGGTACAATTTTTTTTGTGTGTATTTTGCATATGTGTGTGTGCACGTGAGTGTGTGCACCTGGAAGTCATGGTGACCTCTGGTGACTGACCCCTACTGGGGGCCTGGAGGATATTCAGAGAGGTGGCTGAATAAAGCCTGCCCCCGCCTCCTGACTGCTGATATTTCATTATTTGCCAGAGTCAACCCTGCTTAGCTTCCGAGATGGGGCTTGCCTGGGTTATCCAGGTCAGGGCCTTGCTGGTATAATCTTAATATTTACAACCACATGAAGGTTCCATTTTTAGAATAACAACTTTTCATATTAGTTTTACAAGTTATATCAAAAAAATACTGACTTGGTTATACTATTAGAAACACATCATAGATAGATAATTATGAAATTATTACAAGGTGAACTATCTCCAGTTTAATAGGTTAACTTTTCTGCTATACTTTATTGGAAGGAGAAAAGTAATCATTACCTTAATAATAACAATTTAAACTAAAACAATAACATTATAGCATATGTATTCTTGTACTTGCTTAAAAATCCATGTTAACTGATGTGGTTAAACAAAATATCTTTTTTTAAAAAAGCTTAGACTGTCAGCTCAGTCCAAACATGAGAAACTTAAAATACTATCCTCTGTAGCTCACTCATCATCTTCTTGTTCATTCATAATCTGGAAAAGAAATACAAGCTTTCCTGCTTTATCAGGTCCCAAACGATTTCTCAATTTAGAATGAATGAGTCCAAAGTCCAAAGGATTTCTACGCCAGCAGAAGAAGCTACTACTGGTAAAAGTGAGATCATTAGTTCAATAGTCTCTAAGTGCTTAAGTGACTTACACCAGTTCACTAGTGTGACTTTCTTTAAAACATCATTAGCAAACATATATTTCTTGAATGGTTCTCAGCTCTGAAATGTATTATAGTTAGCATTACAGATGGATGATTGCTGGATACCCATGTCATAGCTAACTCCTCTTCCTTAGCACTTAAGGTTTGACCCTGGTATTGGATATTGACAATATTTGTGAGAAAATGAGCTGGAGGCAGTGTATGTCCCATTCTTTTTTGATGCTTGTACTTTAATTCTGTCAGTGTGCAGTTCTGTTTTTAAGTGCTCACTCACTCAGTTCCAAATTTCAATAGCATCAGCAATAAAACAGCTATTTCTCTATATTTTGTTTAAAGCTTCAGAAATGGGTTTCAGGATGCTCAGCATAGGTTCAACATTTCTCTTAAGCCCAATGTTGAGAACTTTTAGCCTTGACAGTACAATCTATTTTCTCTAGATTTGTTCACAAACTGTCGTCAGAATAGGCTAGTTCTTGATATACTGCTCAAAACAGTCCACTACAGAGTTCCATCTAACATCTTGTGGGAACGTTAGCTTGGTTCCACCCATTCTTTTCAGAGATGCTGCTGCAAAATTATTGTTACAGAAGTATTTAGAAATTTCAATGACATTTGTCTTTATTTCTGGAACACTGAAGTCTTTGGCTAGGTGGTGCAGCAAATGGGCATTGCAACTACGTTACTGGCTTTGTATTCTCTTCCTGCTCTTTTAAATTTGTTCTCATCTTGGATACATTTGCAGCATTGTCTGTGACCAAACTGCATACTAGACATTTGAATTTTTGTTCATGTTATTATAGTTTTTGCTGCCACTTCTTGTAAGTATCCCTCTGTGTGTGCATTTCCTGACATATCCGTTGTTGCTTCAAGGAAGACATTCCCTTCTTTTGTTGTTACACAAGCACATACAACAGGATCATTGTGGACATTGCTCCATTTCTCTGTCATACACTTTATCCAGCAGTTTCCCTGCAACATCTGGTCTGCTGGGTGGTCTGTATTCTGGTCTCAGTGACTGAACCATATTAATAAAGTGTGGGTTTTCAGTCAGACAGAAAGAAGAGTTTGTCACATAAACAAACTGAGCCATATTTTCATCAATTAACTTTTTCTAATCTGCTGGTTTTGATCACAAACACATCTATGGTGGTTTCTGGGTGGTCGGCTTTTTTCTTTCTTTTGGTCATATACTGTGGATGTGTGATGTATATGGTGTGACTGAAACACTATCCTGGACAGATAACTCTGAAACTGTAGAACAGGAGGATGGTGATCTTGAAGGTGGATAGCTTCCAGAATCCTTTAAGTTGATGATGGATTCCCCTAACCAAAGAAGTCAATGCTGTTATTTTATTATTTATACCATTTCTGCTTATTTAGCATTACTCATTGTATTCACTGCCACTCAGTGTTGCTTGTTCCAGCTCTATTTCTTCATAACAGCTGTATCAAAATGACAATAACATGCAGTAATAAATAACAAATATAATTTTGCTCAAACATGACAGTTCCTCAAGGCAGTCTTTAAGAAATATGATGATATCAAAACGTTTACCAACCTGAAGATCCTGCCTGTTCAAACATGTTCCTTTTGTCATCTTCATTACAGCACTTCTCATGATGTTGTTTCATTCGGACCAGCAGGCCTTGCATTTCTTTGTTGCATTTTTTTGCATTTTGCACACGTGCCTGCCTTTCCCTTAGGTAGGGAACTTCATTAAAATATTCCCAAACTGGGTCTCTTTTAGAGCCATTATAGGTTTTCTCCTCCAGGGAAAAGAATAATATGATAAACTTCAGGCTATACACACAAAGATCCAAAGACTTGTGGAGTATTCTGCTCAGAAGGTTTCACTTTCATTTCGCTGCCTGCCCCCTCCCTCCTCACACTTAGCTTCTCGTGCAGATCTATTCCACTTCCAACAATCTTCTATTCATTGAATTTTTAAAAACTTAGCATTTAAGAGGTTGATTCTGTGTACATAAATTTGCAAAGGAACAATGAGATTAAGGTCTTTTTCTGAACTCTTATGTTATAAAAATGTTTTTGCTGTGAAGAAGAGGCATGTGATAGTTGAAGCAAAATATAAAATAATGTTATACAACTGATAAGATGGAAGTGAATATCACTGGCTTCCAGAAGACGAGGATGGTTAACGGATGTACATTGTTCGACCACTGTCTGTTGTATGTGTCAATGGGGTTCAGGACATAGTGTTTTTGATCTCTGATTTGGATGATTGTTAACGTTTAGTATTGTATCTTATGGTTTTGAAATGTTCTCAATAAAAATATATTTAAAAAAAAGAAAAAAGAAAAAAGAAGAGGCATGTGATCTCTGCAGACACAAATTCACAAATTCTGTGGTAATATTTTCTAGATAGAAAAACCGCCCAATAATCTTACAGAAACCTCTGGAAGAACATGACATTATGAATGGATTAATGGAATTCATTTACCAAAAAATTTAAACATTGCAGGAATATACAGCCTTATGCTACATAATTAAAAACTAATCCTTATTTCATGATGAATAACCTTCAAACTATAATGTATCTTAAATGGAAAACTATCTTTAGATAGCTTTTTCCTCAAAAAGTATGTTATTTAAAAAAATCTAATTTAATTTTTTTTTAAATCCATTTTTAATTTTTTTAAAAAATCATTGGTTGCTCGGCCAATTCCAGAAGGAGGTGTTGGGGGACTGCTGATTGGCCCTGTGGCATTAATGTTGTGAGGTCTCACGGTCTTGACTCCCATGCCATTTCACATCTACATGAAATAACTGAGGAAGAACGTCAAAAGATTTGGAGGTGCCACCAGTATGCAGATGAAACTGAGCTCTATTTCTCCTTAACAGCTGAGCTGTGTGGGCTTGTGAGGCAGACCACCTGCAAACGGTCATGGAATAGAAGAGGGCAATAAATTGAAGCTCATTCCAGGCAGCCCTCAGTTGTTTGCAGAGGGGGAAGGGCATTTGCACTCCTAAAGGAGCAGGTTCACAGCTTGGGGATGCTGCTGGATCGTGTACAGTTCAGCCTGCCAGTTAACAGCTTCCTCACAAGCCTTGCTCTTTGTCCCCTCTGCCTGCAGAGGTGGGGCAAGTGGCAACCAGAAACTGAGCTTTTTCAGTAGTGGCCCCTCATATATGGAATGCTGTTTCCCTTGAGGCTCACCTGGTATCCACACTACTCATTTTTAGGCTCCAGACCCAAAAAAATCTTTTTGTTCATGCGTGTAGCTAGAAGGGTGACCTTTTTATTGGGTTTTACAATCTGCTTCTTCCTTGAATTTCTGTTGTTTGGCACCTGAGATCATCTTCAGGTTTTCTCCTTCTGAGCTCTTATGTGTGTTTGTGTTTTGTAGACTGGTTTGTGATGGTCATTAATTTAAAGGATTTTAGAGCTTGTTGAACTTATTTCTTTTTATTTTATGAGCCACTTCAAGTAGGCGAGATGGAGTATAAATAAATAAAGTGCAATAAATATACACAGGAGTGCTTCGGTTAAGCCTGACTCCATGTGCAAGTTCACTCACACTGCACCATAGTGGGAAGAGCATCACCTACATCTCTGTCTTTGCAGGCTGAAAAATTTGATGGCTCCCGGCAACCTGTGGTGGCCATCAAAGGAGCCAGAGTCTCAGAGTTTGGTGGCCGAAGTCTTTCTGTCCTTTCATCAAGCACTGTCGTCATGAACCCTGATATTCCAGAAGCCTTCAAGCTGCGTGGATGGTATCCTTCTTTCTGTTATCAGTGGCTGTCTATTGCTTAACTAATTTGGTGGGGGCGGGGGAATTTGCTTGCCTGCAGAATTGGGTACTAGGAAGGGCCTTGCTTATAGCCTGACACAGCTGAGTTCCCATAATTAACTTCAAAGAACTTGGCTTTCATATAGTTCATATAGTGACAAAGATGACAACTTTTGGGTGCCATTAAACATGGCACTATGCGAGACTAATTTGGCCTATGGGGCAGGTCATTCATGGCAGAATCACTCTTTCCACACTTCTGTTTGTTTTAGTGGGTTTTGCCCATCAAAATTTCCCAGTGGGTGATGCCCCAAGTCAATTTGTGCAAAATGGGTGATTTGGATTTTCCACCTCTGATATCTTGGACCAGCCCGGTTTGAAAGTTCCTCTCAAGTGTCCATTTCCTTCTGCGATTGCTGCTGGAGTCTATTTTCTCAAAACTCAGAGGGAGGGATTTTGCTTTCTCATCCTGGGTGCTCTCCGGTGTTGCTTGGCATTTGACATAATGCCAAAAAGGGTATTTTGCTGTTGGCAACACAAGTTGCTGGTGTTGCCAGGGTGCAGGTTCCTGGGAGAGAAAGAGACCTTGCTGCTAGCTTACCAGGTATCCTGCAGTTCATCCTGGAATGGAAAACCTTGTATTTAGGAACTTTTGTCTCCATTCCTGGATAAGCCATAGATTCCATGTACAAGCTTTGGATGAGAGTTACTTGATCTTGGGTCTCAATCCCCAGTTGTAGAAATCGGGGGCGCGCGCACTTTCTCTGCCTTACATGTTGCTGAGGACGACAGTCCATTAGTAACGGATGTACTTTAATGCACTCAGTTGCATTTGGTCCATTGTTCCTCTTAAGTGCTCTTGGCACACTCAAGGCTGTGCCAGAGACAGAAGAGGCAGCCTGTCTCTGCTCAGTGTCCCCCCCCCCCCAACCCGGAGTGTTTTGTTTAATTTGATGGCCAGTATGAAAATCGGTTGGGGGGGTTCCTCTGTCTTCAGGTGTTGAGCATCAGCGTGGGCTGATATTCGTGATCCATTTAGGCTTCACAAAGAATTTAAAAGGAATCTACATGTGCTGAATGACAAGAGTGTGGAAGAAGAGAATGAGTACAGAAAAGGGTGGGAAAAGGGCGCCTGGTAGGGTAGTCACCACCCCTATATGTTTGTGGCCCTAGGTTAGATTCTGTAAAAAAAAAAAAAATGGGATTAGCACCCTCTGTAAGCTGCCCAGAGACCCTTAGGGGTTAGGGCGGGATAGTAAATCGAATAAATAAATAAATGAGGAAGGCTCAGAGAGAAATAGTGGCAGTACCGGGGACGGGGGGGCCATTTGTCCTGGGGCTTAAGCTAAATTTGTCCTGGGGCTCAAGTGGGCTAAAATAGTTAACTGAGGTGAATTTCAGAATTTTCACATTTTATGGTTTTATGTGCATCACTGTCAGGAAAAAATGTGACACACATTCTCCCTCAGCTTATTTTTATTATGGCCGGAGACTAGGGGTAGGCAAAAAAAAAAATATCAGGTTTTTTTTCTGATTCAGGTCTATTGGGCCTGAAAAATAACGGTATTCTGAATATTCCCAAATACCAATATCAGTATTGCATTGGGATTTGGGTAAATATTTGGGAAACCCAAATTTATTCAGCTCCATTATACCCTATGGGGTCCGTCCCCATAGGGTATAATGGAGAATTTAACTAGGGGTATTTGGGACTCATGGGGGGACTCTTTTTTGAGGTAAAGGCACCAAATTTGTAGCATACCTGCTGATGTCTCTCCTCAAAAAAAACCCCCAAGTTGTAAAAAGATTAGAACAGAGGGTCCAATTCTGTGGGCACCCAAAGAAGGTGCCCCCATCTTCCATTGAAACCAATGAAGGAAAAAACACATTTAAAGAGACTGCAGTCTCTTTAAATGCCTTCTATCCACGCCCAAATAAAAGCCGAATAATATTGACTTTTATTCGGGTGCAGCTATTTTAGTAGTCAAATCAGATTCTCCAATCTGTATTCGGCTGAATAAATACCTGAAAAATACCAACAAGGTATTGGGGGAGGGTATTTATTTGGCTCAGTATATACTGAGTGAATACCCCTACTGGGGACCTCAGTAGCCAGAAGTGTCCCAGGCTTTCCTGGACCTCTGAGATGAGGCCTGCCCATGGGATCAAGAACTCAGAGGTGTATGGCTGGAATGGTTCAGGAAAAAGATCTCCTCAGAAACATGGGTTTAGCAGTGCAGAATATCCTCTGCAGGAAACAGGTTATTCTGAATAGGAGGTCTCAACCTTTTCATTGAACAACCCAAACTTTCCAATTAGGAATTCTTCATCTCGGTTAGTGGTACAACAGAAACTTAACTCTCACTGAGGTGGTAAACCTGTGTCTGTGTCAGACTGTGTGGGGGGGCTGGCATGATTCCTTTGGACAACCACCCCTGCCCATGGAAAGCTAGCACGTTATAGATAAGAATAGCCTAATCTTCTCCCTGACATAATTTTCTGTGTTTAATGGTGAACCATTAAATTATGTAAGCCTCTTGGCCTGTAGTGTGAAGAGCCAGTCTTGTGTAGTGTTAGTGTGGCACTAAAGCCTCCATGATGTGAGTTCAGGCCCCTCTTGGCCTTGAGGTTCTTTTAGTGACCTTGGTCTTTTTTTCTTGTCTCAGCCTAACATTCCTCACAGGAATGCTGAGGATTTACTTCCTTGTTTGCATCATTTATAGTCTGCCTTTGTTGCTGAGACTCAAGGCGGATCGCATCATTAAAAACAATGCCATAGAAACGGTATAATAGATACAACAAGCAGCGCAATCAAAAACTGGATTACAAAATTATGGAATATGAAAACTGTATAATACGTGCAGTAAAGTGGGTTTACAAAAGCGGAGAACAATGGCACAAATCGGTATAATATATTCAGTGAACAATGTAATGAAGAATTCCCAGACAATAATTACAGCCCTCCTGAAAAAGAAGGAATTGGGGCGATCCGAACATGCTGCCCTGAGTCCATTGACTGAAAATGTGATAGAGAAGAAAGATAGAAGTGTTACCCCACAAGCATAGGTATATTGTTGTCAGCTATCCCTTTTCAAGATGTTGGCCTCTATGGCTCTGTCCCTGCAGTGATTTTTTTCCTCCTAGCAGCAGCTGCTGGAGAGTCAAGCACCAATTTCAGTTCTGTGAGGGAAGGGGGGGGGATCAAGGGCTCCTATGAAGCTGCCTTAATGCTATGTATGAGAATTGGTTCATCTAGTTCAGTACTGTCTCCTCTGACTGGCAGTGACTCTCCAGGGCCTTGGACTGAGAACTCGACGTCTTCTTCCCTGCATCCTTTAGTGCGGGGGGCTGGGAATGAACTTGAGGCTTTCTGCACGCAAAGCATGCTCAGTAGCCCTTACATTAGGCAGGTGAACCGTAGCATGCTGTACATCCCAGGGAGGCTTGCCAAAGGGGAAGGGCCTTAGGAGGCGGGAGCTGCTATGAGGTCCACAGAAAAGGCAAATACCAAATGCAAATTGCACAAGCTTTTCTCTGGGCAGTGCTCAGTGTTGTTTACACACTTCCTAGCCTTCTGTCTTGTAACATTTCCTAGCAAACACATTTCTGCCCTGTACCACTGTGTGTTGGTTGGGAAATGATCCCTCACCCGAGTCTTTTCTTCAGTCTGTGTGCATATCTTTGCACCATGACAGGTGTCTTGGACTCCCTCTGTTGCAGACAAGACCAACAGTATTCACAAATGCAGCTTGCCGCAGTTCGCGGTGTAGTCATCCCCACGCATGTATTGTGTGCATGGAGGGAAAAGAGCTTCAGAAGCAAGTGCTTCTATCCCCCCCTATACACACAGGTTTTGCTGCTGTTTCAGTGGAATTACTTCTCTCTGCTACTGCTAGCAGTACCAGATAAGCTGTCACTGAGCGGCTCTTCCCTTCCCAACATGAGCCGCTTGTTAACATTCCTTGATAGGCTCTGGTAAATCAAGCCAGTGGTTTACTAAAACAAATTAAATTGCAGTGCTGTTTTGGTGCCAAGGTAGTAGCATCCACTTATCTTGTCGGCAGGGACTATAGCTGCTCATGACTTCAGACATGAGACCTCCGAAGCTTAGTCTGCAGTTCTTTCCAATCTTATGCTAAGATAATGGTAGCATATAATTTAACTCTCATTCCAGTGGCCTTCTGTCTGTTAACTGTATATGTTACATTTGCACACTGTTTAACTGTGGCCACTAGCTGGTGTGGAAGGAAAGCATAGCTTGTCCCCTTTTCTCCCGATTATAAAATATTGCACTAATTAAAAACAGCATATTAGCTTATCTTGAAATGGCTGTTTAAGTGAGTAATACACACAAGTTACAGTAATTGTTTCCTGTGCAGCTATTGATTTAAAAAAAAAATCCTTCTTGCGTCGAGTGCAGGAGACCAAAAATAAAATCCTGTTTGTGCTACTGCCGCTTCCTGGAACTGGGAGTAATCTCCTTTTTCGCTTCCAGGTTTGACTCTGAGGGCCAGCTTCAAGAATGCGCCTCCATCTCTAACACACAGGGTGGGCCTGCTGCAGGCGGAAACACCAACTGGAAAACTCTGTATGAGGCTAAATCAGAGAACCTCGGGCAAGGAGATAAGGTAAAGCGGGGCCTTGAAACGGCAGGCGTGGGCTGTTTCTTGCTGAGATAGGCTGTTCCCTGTGGGTCTTATTTTGAAGTGTAGAGGGACTTACCAAAAACTTGCAATAAATAACCAACTAAAAATAACACAATAGAAACACCTTAACTCATGCAATTTTTGGAAACCATGCTCGATTCCAGCAGAGCAGAAATGCTAATGCCCAAATGGCAGTCTTTAAAAAAAATAATTAACTGCTGCTAATAAGAGTGATCCACAATCGTGCTAATGTCTTACTGTGTTTGGGTATCAGTAAAGTGAGGCCTCAGTTGTAACTGGGGAACTGTCGAGACCGGCACCAGTCTGATCCTCAGCTCATTCTCTTAATGGCTAATCCGTTAATCAATCAATTAAATACCCAAGGCATGTGTGAGAGTATTTAATGAATGCATGTCTTTATCTTGGCCCCTAAATAGCACGGATATATTTGCACATTGTTTAAACCTTTTGATTTTTAAGACTGCCAGTGCGTGCAAATACTAATGGAGAAGAGCTGGGGATGTGATAATGAAGTCTGAGAGTTAGGGTGTGGCAGTAACATCAGGCACGTGAGTGAGACTCAAGGTGTCCAGCTTGGCCTTCAGAGATGAAGCTGTGACGACTCTTCAGACTTTGCAGATTTGGGAAATGAACCGATCCCACCTCATGTGTTTCTTTATGCTTCCTGTCTTTCCCTTCAGGCGGACTACTTTAGTTGTGTGGCCACAGTGGTATATTTGCGCAAGGAGAACTGCATGTACCAGGCTTGCCCATCGCAAGACTGTAATAAGAAAGTGATTGATGAACAGAACGGACTGTATCGCTGTGAAAAATGTGATCGGGAATTCCCCAACTTCAAATATCGTATGATCCTTTCAGTAAGTCCAAGAGGAGTGTGGCACAATTTTTGGCTGGTCACCTTTCTTTCAAAGCTAGATCACTGGTGTGTCTGTATGTGGAAGGGTATATATGTGTTTCAACCAGAGAGCCTTTCCTGTGTGGAAGAGAGAAAGAGCAACTGTCTCTCACTCAAGTGGTTGAGCAGAGTTTTCCTGATCCAGTCAACATTAATGGCCCTTTTTATGGCTTGTGAATGCTGGCCTGAAGCTTGGGGGTGGGGGTGCACTCTCTGAAATTGTGTGCATTTCTTTGCACATTGATGTGAACAGTGCACATATGTACTTGGTCAAGACCACCTCTCTACCCACACCCTGATTCAGTCCTTGACAGTGCAGCAGTACAATAACCATGGCTGTTTTACCACCTGTGCCAGATGCCCAACTCTTCACCATGTCCTCTGAGTGTTTTGTGCAAAAACAGCCAGATCCTGGAAACATCCCCCCACCAATTATTTCTCCAGGTGGACTTGCATTCTGTATTTACACTGCCCATTCGCTTCAGTTCAAAATGCATGTGTTTTTCTGAATTGCTCAGCTTTTTAGCTATCTTGTATTTTTTAAACTGCCGTTTTGCCGTTTTTTGGCGCACTGCTGCCATGATGTTTAAGCCTCCGTTCAGCATACCACCCATGCCATGCAAACCCAGCTCTGGCTTATTAAAATTTGCACAGGTGACAGTGTGACCACGATACTTTTGTACTGAGCTTGGCAGGGTGTTTTTCCAGGTCTCCTGTGAGGGAAACTGAATGAACCATTTGTTCTGGTCCAAGAGGTTTTGGTTGGTTCCACCTAACTGGGGCCTCTGCCCCTGTGGCTTGCTATTTAATTCAGTGTTGAAACAGTGCTGTGCGTTGCATCCAGCAGGCCCACGTGACTTTGTGAACATTGCAGCTTGTGCAAGAAGCCTTGATGGGCTCACACCTTCGAAGATAAGCTTAATGTAGAATGACATTTCTAGAGAGTGGTAATTGCCCTTATTCAGCTGCTCCCTATATTTAGTTTGCTCTGTTGTGGGTAATGTTCTGTGTCTCATACATTAACGGAAACCTGTTTCAGAGCCGTGTGTCTGAAGGCTGCCATTGTGATGCCTGCTTGCACCCTTGGAACACAGCTGCTTTTTCAGCCTTCTCTCCTCATAAAAGTGCCTCCAAATTAGGGCCCTGTGTCTTGCCTTTAGAAGCGCTCATGCAGGGAGCCTGCTACAGGGAAGGTTTTGCTGCCACCGGGGGCTTCAGTTCAGCTAATAGAGCAGCTAAACAAAAAGGCTCTCCAAATAAATGGCCTCACCTTATTAGAACATTTGAGAGTATGGAAACTGTCCCCCTGGGGAAATAATTTATTGTGTGGAATTGGGAGGTGGGGGGAGCAGAGCTACTTTGGAATTGTGGGCTGTTCAAGTTCTTCTCCCGTGTTTTGTTCTGTGCTAGCAAGAGGTTTCTCCAAATACTAACCGTAGAAATTGAATTCCTTCCCTACCCACTCTACCTCTTTGCCTCAAATGGCACAGTTGTGAGGGAGTGAGACATTTTGCAGGCTGTTTAACCTATGGCGCTGGACTCCGGTGTGGATCAGACCAGGCTTTTTGTTACGGCATAATTTGAGCAAGCTGATTGCAGCAAGAAGGCTCTGAGCAAAACCTCTTTGTCATCGAAGAGGCAGCCACTGGTTGCTGCTGGGAGTGCATTTGGGTGGTAGCTGCCCTGTTGTTGGCTCTCCAGAGGAACTGATTAGCCTTTGTGTGGACGGGGTGCTGGGCTAGATGGGCTACTGGTCTGATCCAGCAGGGCTCTTCCTATGTTCTTGTGTTGTTTTGCATCGTTTATTTATGTATTTGATTTATATAGTGCCCTCCCCCCAATCTGGGGCTCAGGGTGGCCAGTGCTTTGCTTAAAAGCTCATTGTGCTTGACCCTTTTGTATGTATCTCCCCAGTTTATTTACAAGGTTTAGGCTCTATTGTTACTCTGTACATCATGAGGCAGACTTGCAAATCAGAATTGGGGCTGATTCACACAGAGAAAGCACCGGTTTTTCCACCTCCCACCCCACCCCAAAATACTTTTTCTGCCTTAAAGCTCTCAATTGGTAGAGGTGGAGGAAGATATTAGTGGTATGAAGGTGAGCCTCCTCCTTTCTCCACAAACAGGGATTACATAAATTAACTGCAGAGCTTTTTCTGGTGGCAGCTGAGCCTGTCTCCCAGTCCAGGCCCTGCCTGTCCTTAGAGTTCTGTTCTGACTCTTCTAGGCCCTTTCTTCTCTCTGCCCTACGTCTGCCTTAGCTAGCGAGGGATGGGAGTTGGCAAAAATGCCGAGGAGGAGCTGTTAAAAGGAACACTGTTGTCTCACCTGTCTCACAGCCCACTGCAAAGATGGCCAGATCAAACCACGGCAGCTTCCAAGGCTCAGAGACAGGTGCCTGGTGATGCCCACAAAGCCCCATAGAAACCTGCCCAGTTTCCCTATCCTTGGATGATAGCTGCCCTGTGCCCTTGTGGCCAGAGGGGAGCAGCAGTGTCAGCAGCAGCACGCTCAGCTACACAGCTCCAGTAAAAAACCACAGCTCCAAATGAGCGGTTAGCCATTCAGTCCCTTGAGGGCAGGAAGAGGATCATTGCTTCGGTGCTCTTATCACAGATTCCCCCCACCACCACCACCCAAGTCTTTCTGGATGAAGCATCGGAGAGCTCCACATTCCCACTCTCCGCCTCCACAGGAAATACCACAGAGTTGCAGAGCCTCTCCTCCGTCCCATGACTCTTCAGAATCATGGCCACTCTAGTATCCTCCCTTTACCTTTAGGACATAAATGTATACCCCTGCCTGGATGACTACCTTCCCCACTCCCCAATTCTTGTAGAATCCTCTCAAGAGCTTCTTCTCCAACCCAGACAATTCTCCACCTGGAGATCCTCATTGGCATAGCCAGCACTGGAGTAATCTTCCCTGTGGACAGGTGAAACAAGCCCAAAGAGGCAATATACCATATAGTTCACAAAAAGTCATGACATTAGCTTAATGATATCCTATCTCAGTACTGTCGTCTTGGCATGGCTCTCCCTCCAATGGGCCTTGCTCCCTCTTGAAGATTTCGTAGCACAGCAAGTCCTTTCACAAGTCAGTCTACTGTAGAGGGTCCTCCATTCCTTCCACTGCTAGCTCCAGGATCACAACCTAGGGATTGGCAAGCCCTTTGTAGACCAGCTATGTACATAGATCAAAGCAGGAGACGTGACAACTAGGCGGAGCCTCTAAATGGCAACACAGCTACAGAGTGCTAGATGTACACAGATCATTCAGATTTTCGGTGGTAGCAGTTGTTACCTGGTTTGTGTTTGGTGACCATGGGAGGGGAAGGGAAGGGGGGGGGACTTGATTAAGTGGAGACTTGGGACAGCCACAGGGCTTTCTGACCTCCTGTGGTCCAATCCAAAGGAACAGAAAGCATTTGTGTTTGCTTCGTGCATAGGCCAGAGAAGGTGATGCTGAACGTGCACATTTTAAAAGCTGCCCTCTGGTCTCTTTGCCTAGCTACGTTTCATTCCAGGCACACACACACACAACCAAGGAGACCCTCTCCGCTGCATATCTGTGCTGCAAGCTTTAGGTCCTCCTTGAGGGTGGGCTTTTTTTTTTTTACGGACAGTTGTTACAGAAACAGTGTTTGCTGTGAGCAAATAGTAACCAGTGAGGGAGGTGTAGGAGGCACCTGTTCTCCTTCTGGCCTGCTGTTCTGGGGGCTGTCACCAGCTGTTTGCAGTGGCTGCTGGTGTCCCACGCCCAACTGCCATATCTGTTTTTGAAGCACTGGGACAGGTGTGTCCGTGGGGTGCTGTGGGGCTGGTGTCGCCAATCAGAAGGGTGAGAGTGTGAGCACAGTGGACTGATGGGAGGAGGCAGGCAGGCCTGTTGTGGGGAGGAGGCTTTACTGTAATGCATTTGTGTCCATTCAGGTGCAAGGCTAAGGAATGTTGGTGTTTTGTCTTCTCTGTCTCTCCCCCAACCCAGATAAACGTGGCAGATTTTCAAGACAATCAGTGGGTAACTTGTTTCCAGGAGTCAGCAGAGGCCATTCTTGGGCAGAATGCCGCTTACCTTGGAGAGC